CCCCCCCTCCCCCCCTCTAAAATCAATTCTCTCCTGGAGATCGTCTTCGTGAGCCTCTCATGATTTCAGGATAGTTGAAACCCTCTTGAACATTCAGAAAGAGTGAATATGAAATTCTAATCACGAAAGGTGTTCTGTGAAGCGCGTCAATTCTCTCCTGGGGAGCGTCTTCGTGAGCCTAGTTCAAATCCTATGATGTTCCGATTCAATGCTCACCGATGATCTGAGCCATGGGGCAAGTTTGTTTTCCTAAGAATATTTTTGAACATTTCGAGAGCACATGTTTGAACATTTAAAGTGCATATGAACATATATGTACGAAAGGTCGCCTCCGAGGGGATAAATCACCATGTCGAACATTGCATTTTTGTTCCTGCCTCTCGCGTTCTCTTCTCTTCCCGCTGTCCTACCTTTCGTGTCTCCCTCCTCTCAAGTATGCCAGATAGAATGCCAGTATATATATACACATACATGCAAGATAGGCATTGTTTTGTTGATGCTGAAGCAATATAGCCATTGGTTGTCAGCAGAACATAAGGCCATTGTGGGGATCACACGAAGTAACTGTGTTTTGAACGTGTTTTATTCGCTCATGACAACATCAGTATTCATGAGGGTTTGCACCTCCTGTTTAGTTGGCGAGACCTGTCCGGTCAAGAAGGAACAATTGCCCTCGTTCTGATGCAGAACAACTATGTAATAGAAAGCAACCTTCGCAAGGTGAAATTACCTGAGCAGTGCAATGATTATTGAACAGCGCCTCTATACCCTGACTCAGGGTATGGCACCTTGTTGAGGCAGCGAGAGGGCTAAGCCACAGAGAGAGGGAAAGAGGGAGGGCAGCCTTGCTTTGAGGCTCTTTTGTTCAAAGTTCGGGTCCCTAATGTCCAAAATGAGAACACAGCTAAGAAGCCGCAGGAGCAAGTGCAAAACCGAAACAGCGCTAGTAATGTTTTGGGTGCCTGTGTTTACCCCCATCGCGCCCAAGAACTCCTATCGAAACTGGTATGCCATTGAGGGAAGCCATCATAACAGCGCAAATAACAAATAAGTATAAGAAGAGATGAGCAACATACTTCTCCTTTTTTATTGATCCTGGATCTGCGTGGCACACTAGCTTTGATGCGTCCACACTGCAACTTCTGTGACATCAGTGTGCCATTGGGGTAAGCTATGGATTCGAGCTTGTTTCCAGATGGTTCTAGGCAACCTATGGGCGAAGCCTTTGCGAGAAGGGTTCCACAAGTGGATTCATGGAGACTCCAGCACAGCGCAAGAGCCATGGGGTTTGCCATTGTCACAGCACATATGTGTATAAACAAACACCTCTTCAGTCAGCGTGGCCTGCAAGCAACATGCTGGGTCAACGGGGGGTTTGCCCCAACGGCACGCAAACATTTCCGACCAGGCAACAAGGTTTTCCGGGGGGGAGCCTGGGACAGTTTCGTTCGTGTTAATCGTTGCGCTGGCCAAACATCGCGTTTCTGGACCGACGTCGTCATGCAACGAGAGCACCTTGAAGGCCTCGCATCGCAGCTTTGTGGCAGCCAGAATCCAGGTTTGGACTCAATGCTATAAGACATTGTAAGAATACACAGAGAGGCTGTGCAAGACATTTGTCCGCCAACTCAAATGTACAGTGAGCTGTCATGGCTCACTTGGGAAGAGGACTGAAGTCGCGCCGCAAAAGGTTCCTTAAGTTGCAGATCATCGACCCGGTGGGAGGATGGGAAAAACTCCAGGATTTGATTGAGTGGTCTTTGAACGGTCTTCAAAATGCACTCAACTTACCGTCTTGGAGTTCACTAGCTCCAAGACGATAAGTTGAGTGTCCCGCAGCACCAAAAACCATGTAAAACGCATGGTCTTCTGATCCTCTGCATGTTGCAGTCGGGGCAACCCAACTCCCCCGGTTTACCCAACATGTTGTAAAGCGTTCATGAACACACACTCGCCAAGCGGAAATATGTCCTTTACATATCGCAAGATAGGAAAAACGCACCAGAGAAGGCAAAACGCAAGCGAACCATAGTTTCTGTTGTGGACTTAGTGCACATCCGGCAAACAATTGAAGCAGATGTGCCATTGGGATGGTGTGGGATTGGTGCAAACGGTGTGCCATGGGGATGATGTGATTCTAGCCCCTGATTTGGGTAAATTGATGTAAATTGTTGGATGTTTGTACGCTGGGGGTGATGTAGAGTCCAGTAGGGCCAAACAGAGCACCAAACAATGAACCTATAGCCCAGAGTCTATTAGTCAGTCATATTTACTATTTGCTAGATGTGACTCTGGCGACTGGGAGACTTTGCCACCTTTGGAAACACCAATGTTACATCTCTAATCTCTAATCATCAACCCACCTTCCACCACATGATTGTTTATACCGGCTTGTCAGAATGGAGCACCAAAGATACCTAGAACCTAGAGCCACCATCTACAGCCTAGAACCATCCAACTCTTGCCAAACCATCTCTACATGGCTGCTTGCTGCCCATGTTTCTTGGTTTGGCGGTTTTTGAATGAAAAGCCATCGTGATTCATGGAGGAACTGGATCTTGTTCTTGGAGTTGTACTTATATATATATATATTACATTATCCGGCATTTTTTTAGAAAAAATGTTTTGAATATGTCATAGTAGGTGCAATTTTGGTGGTTTCGAAGCAAGGTTTCAAATAGAAGAAAATGCATGGCGCAAGAGGTCCTTTGTTGATGTTTTTTTTGATGTTTTTGGGCACTCTGAGCTCCAATATCTTCTAGTTGAACGGTCTCGCCAGAGAAGCAGGATTCCATTGTATTTACAGTGAATTCTTGAAGTGTTGGATGATCTTGTCCAACATTTAGCCGGGACACACGGTGCAAGTTAAACCCAAAAATCAGAGGACCTAGTGCACCATCCAAGATTTCCAGAATCCCGGTACAAAACGGTAAAAATCCTCGAGTTGTTGTTAGTGTTTTTCTGAAGGTCAGATCCACAAGACAGCAGAACAACAAGTGAAGGTCAAATAGAAGATATTGCCAAAGCAACCAAGCACATCAAATAGAAGAAATGACATGTATATTATTTGTTTTTTTGGCGCTTAAAGGTTTGGCAATATCTTTGATTTGAAAACTGAGTGCAAAGCAGCCTGTTCCTACCCCATGTTCCTACCCATGACTCCATCTTCAGAGCTTTGCTCTGAATCATGCCTGTACCAAGCAGACCTTCCCAGTCGGGAGCGGCTATCTATCTATCTATCTATCTATCTATCTATTAGATCTATTTATCAATGCTTGCATATTTCCCAGAGATGCCATCTGCAGTGAAGATACAACGGACCGGCAAGGAAGAAAACAATCTGCATGGACCAATTAAACATGAAGTCAAATAGAAGATCCAAAACAAACATTTCAAATAGAAGATGTACTTCACCGGACAGACTTCAAATAGAAGATATTAATTATTACATATTGGACTATTTAATGGGTTTTGCAATAGTAGCTATATAACATGATCTAACACCTCTTTTACGCTCCGACGAAGCCCTTTTTTTCATTTTTAGCAATTTTTTTCGCGCGCACCGAAAGCAGTTTCACACAGAATATGGAAATTTTGAATATTAAGTATTTGTTTTCTATCCTTGAGGTTTGGACTCCGACGAAGCCCTTTTTTTAATTTTTAGCAATTTTTTTCGCGCGCACCGAAAGCAGTTTCACACAGAATATGGAAATTTTGAATATTAAGTATTTGTTTTCTATCCTTGAGGTTTGGATTATACTTTCATATGAAAACGCCAAACATCGATATCATACCTCTAAAAACTAACCCAGTGATGGCAAAGAGCGCAAAGAGAAGGTGTGGAAAAATGCAACGAACCATTTGCAACTGCAAACCTTGACAAAAACGATGCTGGTTCACCTCATCATACAACAAAAACATTGTTGATTGTTGTCGCAAACGCGTTACCAAAAACACAAGAACCTAGCGTCAACTACCAAACATGCCCGCTCGTGACCCCCCTAAGCTGCCAACTTGTTGGACAGACCAGGGTACAGCAATGATTTGCCAAGGAAATCATCAGGCGGCTGCAAAATGGGGCACCATCGTAAGATACCCCTATAGGTCATTTGCAATGCACTCCTCGTTCTCGTGCCTGTCTCTGGGCCTTTGGACCGGCCCACCTCAGTAGGTGAGGCTCCGCCGCTCGGGTCTCCAGGACGCCTGAGCGCTGCTGCAGACATCGTGGTGCCAGCGGGTGGTGCACTGGGCGGTGCGCTCCTGACGCTGGGCAGCATGGGAACAAGTTCAGGCAGATGGGCTAGGAAGTTTCCTAAAGTGACTCATGGTGTGCGAACATCCGGCTTCACAGCTCACCGACTATGTTGGATTGCCAAGAGTTGCTAAGATTTTTTGGAAAACATCGTTTTTTGTAATGAATTTTTCATTGAAATCGTGTTTATGTATTATTTTAGAACTCTAATCGTGCTCTACCTCTACCTTTCTCCTCCCTTGATGGTTTTGTCTTGCAGGCCGTCAGTGTGGCGGCCAAAGGGAGCCAGGGCGGAGAGTAGCAGATTCCCAACGAGAGGTTGTTGATCTCACAGTAACTTTTCACCAAGACCCGTTGTGGTTTTGACATGTTTTGACATTTTTGACTTTTTGACCATATAATATATATAGTACCCCCAAAGTCTGCCATATATTTAATCGGCACATATCTACATAGCGCACTTAAGAACCTGAAGATAAATTCCAGAAGTCAGTGAACATCCAGGACAAACATTTGCAAAAGTTTGCAAACAATAGCAGTGTCCAAGATTCAAGATCCAAGGTTCAGGATTCAAGATTCTGAATCTTGAACCTTGGATCTTGAATCCTGGATCCAGGTACTACTACCTGAAAAACACATTGCCATTGGAACGGCCTTTAAAACGTTTGCAATGGCTGACCTGCTCGCAAACATGCCACAATATCAATCACATTATGAAGAACGTTGCCACAATTGAAGAAATATCATCAGTCAGAATCTTGTTTTGGAGTTCATTGGTCAAACTGATGAAGCTTTCAATACATTTGGAGTGTCAATTCATGACATGATCAGTGCTCAAAGATTCCATGTATCAGCCGGAATGTGTGATTGTATGGGACATCTGATGTACCCCAAGACCAAGACCATCAAAACAAGACCATTATACTAAAACATGTTTTGGTTTGAAGGATGACCGCATCTACACACTAATCAGAGACGGTATGACGGCACTAAACAGAAAGCTTTGTAGTATGAGCAAGTTATACACACTGGTCGCGAAGGTTTCTGCAGACTTGTCGCATCAACACCAGAGATGAACCCATTGAATGTAGGATGATTGAAGGCATTGACTTTCTGAAGTGCACTGAGAAGAATGAATACATCATGTTCTACAAAGGCAATGGTTTATCACAACTGCATTATCAAAGCAATCAGAGGATACAATCCTCACATCAAGTTTTGTTCAGGCATTATTTCAGATCTGAATTTCAGGTTCAAGCTGAAAAAAGGACATGTGAAATAAATCTAAGGTGAACACAATCTAACTGACTCAATCAATGCCAGTATAGCAGTTGAGGCAAAGAAAACATACAACAACAGGTCAAAAGCAATCTTGGCTTCCAACCAACAACTTTCAATCCTTTACATAAGCCCTATTACAATGAAGTTGGTAGGCACCCTAAACCAGCGCAGAACAATCTCGCCGGTTGGGAAACTTCATAATTTTCTTTATAGCAGTGAGGTGCACTTGGAAATAGACCAGAATAAGGCTTACACTTGCTGTTTAACGAACACAATAAAATTACAAGTCTTCGATGAGTTTGATGTATGGAGAGCCTATAAAAAGCATCATTTCAATGAGCTAGGAATGCTTCTGAGGGTGATGCAGGACAATATGATTTTGAAGGAGGTTACAATCACGGACACTTTAAAATTAAGGATTGCACATATCATGATGTTATTCAAGTTGAAAAAGGAATCACCACCAAACACTATACCCTAATAGTATTTGACAAAGGCTATCAAATGGGCTTCAATTGTGGCACCGTTCTTCATAATTTGATTGATATTGTGGCATGTTTGGGGGCCGGTCAGCCATTGCAAACGTTTGCAAACGGTTCTGTGGCAATTGTTTTCCAAGTAGTGACTGATCCAAAATTCAAGATTCGATATTCAACATGTTTATACAGGACACTCCAATGGTCACAAAACAGGCAAGAAAGGCTTTTCAGGGGAGTGGCATAGATATATATATATAGATTGGTAAATACATGCCTAGAACCTGAATGACCTCTATTCTTGACCACCAGCCACCCAAAATATGGTATTGTTATGTGCTTTTTGTTCCAGGTATGTATATCTTAATATGTAATTATGTGTGTATGTGTATACTGTTCACTGTATATATGCTTTCATGCCCGCTGTGTATATACATATGTATGCAAGATATATTTATGACGTCTTTCACATCTCCTTTCATGTATATATTTATGAAGTCTTTCACATCTCCTTTCAAACGCTGAGGCTCTCCTCCTTCCTGGATTCCTTTGACAAGAAGGGAGACGCTCATCCAATTGGCAGAGCAGCTCCTGAAATGAGGGGTGTTTGATGTCAGTAGTGCAACTATATAACTTGGGACCTTCAGATTCCCATGTTCAAGTTGGAAATTGCATTTTCTTGCCGATGCGTTTGTGAGGACGAGGATGATGGAGCATTGAGGGCGTCGCTGAAAAAGGAAGAGGAGGAAAAGAAGGCCCAGGCGAAGAAGAAGAAGACGGAGGAAGAGGAGGAAGAGGATGATGGCGCACTGTGATGTCGAACATCAGGCCGTGGCAGCTGAACATTCTACAGGTAGTGAGAAGACCACACCATGAAGTAAGGTTTTGCATGCTTTTGCTACTGTGACATGTTTCAAGAAGGCTCAAGAATTTGTCCGAAATCATTTTGTACCGATATGACTTGTTATGCATTGCATTGCTTGCGCAAGCCATGCCCCGCGCTGCGAGGCGTCATCTCAAAGTGAGGCATTTAACATCGTTCGACCCAGCAAGGGAACCGTGCAGGATCCCCTGTTTGTTGGGTCCAGTTTGGGTAGAATTGTGCCCTGTCTCCCAGTCAGGGAAAGCGAGGGCGGAGCCACAAGAGCACAACTGAGGAGGAATTTAAAGTCGAAGCTGGTGTTGCAAAATTGAAGTTGTTGGCGCAATTAATCACATGTGTTATTGTTGTTGTTGTTTCAATCTATCACTTTCATCACCTTTGAGAAGCCCTAGTTTTCCATGAGCGCTGCTTTGAGCAATTTGGAGGCCAATTGTTCGACCGACGTTTGATATTTTAATGTTTTGTAGTGAAAGCCCTGAAAGCCAGATGCCAAGTGTTAAAAGGTTGCTGGTGATTCAGTGATGGGCGAGGGCCCGGGTCCAATTCCCATGAAAACGGTCCATCAAAGTGTACTTCCAATGTTGTAGCCAGACTCTTTGTCTTTGACATCTAATTTCATGGAATGGTAGCCAGCTCAAGTTAGATAGGCTTTGAATGCAGACCTGCTTGACCTCAAGAACATTAAACACATGGACTAATCTATTCTTTGGGGATCAAACAAGATCAATCAACATTGACATGAGACTTTTTGTTGGTACTAAGTTGTTTGTTGTTAGCACGGAGTGTATCCACACCCATACTGATGAGGCTGAGCCACTTTCCATCAGTTTTCGCCACTTTCCATTGGTTGCTCAGGTCGGCAGATGATGGTCCTGAGGAGAGCCGCTGGTGTTCATTTACGGACGAGACCGGAACCTGAACAGACAACCTTTATGGAAGACGGTGTTCCTCGGACCCACCCCACGTGGTTCGACCCGGCAAACCGGGTCCCGGACCCCGGGGGCTTCAACAACTCCATCGGACCTGCGGTTGACCGGTGACCGGGGGCGCGAGCGGCTTCAGCGAAGCTGGCTTCACCGCTCCGAGGTAAGAAGCGCTTTCGAGTGACGAATCATTGCCAAAGCCTTAAGGAGGGGCAGTGACAAGGGTGTCAGACTCCTTGGCGCATGGGAGTTTGTTCAGACCTCACTGAGGCAATGAAACACCTCTGAAAAACAGGGGGAACTAGAAGAACACTTCTAGTTCCCCTGAGCTTTGCTATGAGAATGGAGGGTCGGGGAGAATGGAGGGTCGGGGTTCTTCTTGTCTTCTGGCACTGAGGTAAGGAGACCATTTGGATCCAATCTGCAGGTGGGAGACGGTGGATCAACGGGTGGGGCTTCGTTGGACCACTATTTTTGCAATTTCTCAGCTAACTGAGGGTCATAGCCCACTGGCTACGTTGTACCACTATCAATCTCACGAATCTCAATGATTTGGCCAGGCTCCTTCTGTGCCACAAGTGTGAATCACAAGCTCCACGAGCAGTGGGAGCTTTGAGCTGGTGCAGAACCAGTTTCACCGAGTGTTTTCCAGTTTGGACTTTGGGAGGGGTCAGCATGGACAAACTTACACTCCCTCCAACCATCATGGAAGTGAACCTCCTGACCGGCCCTTGGAAAAACCATGAAATCCTGTTTCCCTTTGGCAGGGATGTGTGGAGGGAGGGTGAAACATGACCTGTGCTCATTGGAGAAGACGTTCAACTGGCCTCCCAACGGCCCAAGGCCGGGTCGGGGGTTTTACATGTCCTTCTGGGCCGGTGGGTCCAAAGAAGAAATGGTTTCAATGATCAAGGTGATGTAGACAGAATTTCTATGCATTTGCATTTGGGTATGTAGAATGGCACTGGAATCACCTCAGCAATTCTGTTCTTTTTGGATGCTGTTGCCCATATTATTCCAACACTCGGCCCCATGGCAGAACACAGCTTCCATCACCTTATTGAACTGGAAGAGTTTCTATTTAACAGTTCCGAGAGGGTCTGTTCACAGGGCTGGGACTTGTAGAATCCCCAAAACGGATATTCAGCCTGGCAAGGGTCACCGGCACTGCCACACTGCCTCAGCTCGGCAGGAAGCCCTTTGCCCTTCGATGCCGACTTGGTAAAGATCGAGCCGGGAGGGCCAAAGCCTTAGGTCCGGGTGGCCATCGTTGGCCTAGGCAAGAGAAGTACGGGGCCGCATGCACCAAGAGCGCTATAGATTGTATGGATGTCTGCGCTTCTTGGGCCAAGTGTGTTAGTTTGCGCACATATCATATCATATTGAATCATATTGAATTTCATTGATACAATACAATATAATACAGTGTTTTACTTTAAGTAGACAATATTACATGTATATGCAACGTACTTTCAGACGACCCCTTCGATGGTCGATGGTCCCCCCAGATGTCGACATCCAGAAGGCCCAGACGGCTCAGCAAATCCAGGATCCTTTCTTGTGAGCTTCTTCACTGCCTTTGATTCTTCTCTGATGAGGTCCTATGCATACTCCGTGCCCCAGGAGGGGGTTCCTTCCACTCGCTTCTTGCCGAAGGCTGGCAAGTTCTTGCTGTTTGCTCAATGATGCTACACCCTTCATTACTTGTAATGTGTCTAAAGCCAAAGTTGTGCAACCCTTAGCTCAAATTCTAAAGACAACGAGCTGGAAGTTGAGGGAGGAGTCTAGAGCTTTTGTTCCAAGGGCTTTGGAAGAGTGAGACCGGCCAGGGGTGTTCATATGCAACTCCCTTGGACCCAGTCTGACAGAAGTGACTCAGACATTGAAGTTGTTTGTGGTGCCGATTTGGCGTCTGCTGTCGGAGGGTCGCTTTGAGCTGCCGGTCGGTTTGAGAGCGGCCCGGTGTGGTAGATTTTCAGGGCTGTTCATGGTATGGCCGGTGCCGGTGAAAGCGGGACCACTCTGAGAATGGATTGGGAGTGTCATCCGCGCTCATGCAGACGGGGTGCGATGAGAACGGCAACAACTGCTTAGCCCGGGCCTTGAGCGGTTGACGTCGAGAAGTGCTTCATGTGGAGGGCCTCGCCCAAGAAGTAGGACTCCAAATGATTCCAAGTGCAGTTTTGGGGCGGCCACGTGGATGGCTGGCTGAATGTGACTGGGCTGAAATTCGTTTTGGCTCAGAGTTATCATTTGGAAGCAAGACTTAAAGGTGAAAACATGTTGAAGATGACAGCTCTTCAAAGGGAAGGCGCCTCTATTCCTTTTTCTTCAGAAGGCGCCTTCCCTTTGAAGAGCTGTCATGAGCTGTCCATTTCGCCAGCCTTCCACGCGATTTCGTCCTTCAAAGCGGCAATTCGCTATATAGCTAGCTGCTCGGGAATCGTTCGGAGCAACCGACCACAGGAGTTCCCCAAGCCCGTGCTAGTTTGGATATGTTAGGCTCATTTAGGCTCTCGCTGTTCTCGAAGCATTTGCTCAGGACTTCCAAGTTTCAGCAGCGCCGGGACATGTGCGGACAGAAACTTGAAGCCTGACAGGGTTTGAATGCAGGCCTGTTGGGGGTCATGGATGTTGTAGCACTCATACGGCACTCTTTTCACTGCTCCATGGGCCCTTTTCCGAAGGTTTCGGCATGTCATGGTCTGCCATGGTGGGCGCTGTTTCGTGCTTCTTCCTCGCCTTGGAGGCCATGGGCCCGGGTGGTTTCAGCTTGGATGTTTGAATCCCAGGCCATCATGTTCCTTAAGGTGGCCATTTTGTTCCCCTAGCCTTGTGGCACGTCATTTTTGTTCACAAGCTTTGGTCACCTGCGATTCCCTTCAAATTGGCCAATCTCGTCGAACGGGAAGGTGCTTGAACCGACCTTGGTGCGCTTGGACCGGTGAAGGCGCGAAAGGAAGGGAGGATTGGACTTCCAGCGGTGGTTGGACCCGAGGTAGGCAGCAGTGAAGAAGATAATGTTTGCAAGATATGGTTAATGATTTACGGTTAATGCGCAGGATAAACTTGTGTGTTCTGTTTTGAGTATGGGATTAACCCATGATCATTGATTGTGATAGTTTGGTCTTTGATTGTGATAGTTTCATTTTTTCTTGTTATGAGTCTTAAACCACATATCTGTAACTTATGGTGGAGTTCCTGAACACCCTGAGTTGCTTCATGATGGTGTTTCTTTGCAGCAATGTAAATTTGAGGTGTCAAGCCAAAACAGGGGCGGGGGTGGGTCGTGCTACTTAAAGCCTGACACTAGGCAAATTGGACCAAGTCATCAGTCAGAGAGTTTGGCATATATTTTTTACTGATCTAGGTTGTCTGATCTAGGTTGTAGCAACTTCTTTGTGAGCAAAAAAATTGTAGACATTGTAAATTAAGCTAAATGTAGTTTGGCATTTTACATCCATGATCTTGCTTTGTGTGAGTTTCTTTGAGTAAATGTATTGATATGTTTGATTTTGCAAGTAAACAGAAACAGTTTTGAGACGCACCTGTCTGTCAGGCCCTGTCAGGAATGAAGCAATACTAAGGCCACTAAGGAACTAGACATCTTCAACTTCAAGAAGGCAATTTTTTTAAACTTTCCACCGAATAGGTGGATAGCACCGAACAGGTGCTTCTTTTTTTTGGGGGGGGAGGGGCAACACCAGTGGAGCACTTAGTTTCAGTCCTTGCACATATGCAGGACTCATACTTCCAGGCTGGATAAATATCTACAGCCAAGGTCTTTGGGAATATCCAGGACTTTGGAGTTTCTTTGAAAATACCATCAAAAAACTACTGTTCAGTTCAACAATATATTATATATTATAAGAAATAAACAAAGTGCCAGCTCTGGATATATATACTTTCTTTTCTTCAGTTGCATGCAACCACTCACACTTCTCAGAGTCAAATTTGGAAAGGGCTAAGTTCAGTCAGGAAAGAGTGCATGACTCTGGACTAAGGCTCA